CACTGAAGGCATCAAAACTATGAATGAACACATGTGGAGTTATGTACTTAACAAAAAAAGGTGAAATAACTGAAAACATGTTTTATATTCTAGTTTCTTCAAAATAGCCACCCTTTGCTCTGATTACTGCTTTGCACACTCTTGGCATTCTCTCCATGAGCTTCAAGAGGTAGTCACCTGAAATGGTTTCCACTTCACAGGTGTGCCTTATCAGGGTTAATTAGTGGAATTTCTTGCTTTATCAATGGGGTTGAGACCATCAGTTGTGTTGTGCAGAAGTCAGGTTAATACACAGCCGACAGCCCTATTGGACAGCTGTTAAAATTCATATTATGGCAAGAACCAATCAGCTAACTAAAGAAAAATGAGTGGCCATCATTACTTTAAGAAATGAAGGTCAGTCAGTCCGGAAAATTGCAAAAACTTTAAATGTGTCCCCAAGTGGAGTCGCAAAAACCATCAAGCGCTACAACCAAACTGGCACACATGAGGACCGACCCAGGAAAGGAAGACCAAGAGTCACCTCTGCTTCTGAGGATAAGTTCATCCGAGTCACCAGCCTCAGAAATCGCAAGTTAACAGCAGCTCAGATCAGAGACCAGATGAATGCCACACAGAGTTCTAGCAGCAGACCCATCTCTAGAACAACTGTTAAGAGGAGACTGCACGAATCAGGCCTTCATGGTCAAATAGCTGCTAGGAAACCACTGCTAAGGAGAGGCAACAAGCAGAAGAGATTTGTTTGGGCCAAGAAACACAAGGAATGGACATTAGACCAGTGGAAATCTGTGCTTTGGTCTGATGAGTCCAAATTTGAGATCTTTGGTTCCAACCGCCGTGTCTTTGTGAGACGCAGAAAAGGTGAACGGATGGATTCCACATGCCTGGTTCCCACTGTGAAGCATGGAGGAGGAAGTGTGATGGTGTGGGGGTGTTTTGCTGTTGACACTGTTGGGGATTTATTCAAAATTGAAGGCACACTGAACCAGCATGGCTACCACAGCATCCTGCAGCGACATGCCATCCCATGTTGGACGATCATTTATTTTTCAACAGGACAATGACCCCAAACACACCTCCAGGCTGTGTAAGGGCTATTTGACCAAGAAGGAGAGTGATGGAGTGCTGCGGCAGATGACCTGGCCTCCACAGTCACCGGACCTGAACCCAATCGAGATGGTTTGGGGTGAGCTGGACCGCAGAGTGAAGGCAAAGGGGCCAACAAGTGCTAAACACCTCTGGGAACTCCTTCAAGACTGTTGGAAAACCATTTCAGGTGACTACCTCTTGAAGCTCATGGAGAGAATGCCAAGAGTGTGCAAAGCAGTAATCAGAGCAAAGGGTGGCTATTTTGAAGAAACTAGAATATAAAACATGTTTTCAGTTATTTCACCTTTTTTTGTTAAGTACATAACTCCACATGTGTTCATTCATAGTTTTGATGCCTTCAGTGAGAATCTACAATGTAAATAGTCATGAAAATAAAGAAAACGCATTGAATGAGAAGGTGTGTCCAAACTTTTGGCCTGTACTGTATATATAAAAGCATAATTATAAGGCTACGAAAACCAAACTTATAGCGATTATACACTTGTATAAACATATTAATGGGTAGAATATTCAGTATTACACATTGGCCCTTTAAAAACCACTGCTCAGTTGTTTCTAAAACTGGGCCCAGTGAGCGACCCTGACCTGGGAACGCACTGGTTGCTCTGGTTGTGAACGTTAAATTGTGGTAACTGTATTTAGTGTTACTGTAATCTAAACATTCTCTGGCACAAGAATTTCCTTTGGTATAAAATAAGTTCTACTGTACTGAATTGAATAACAATCAAATAATATGCATTTTTAAACTTAAGTAAGGCTTGGACAGCAGGACTTTTACTTTAACCTTAGTACCTTTATATGGTTGCATTGCTGCTTTTACATGAGTAAAGGACCTGAAGACTTCCCCACCAATGCAACTAGGTTAAGTCACAGCAGCTTGGGAGCTTCGTTTCACTCTAACAGTGTAAACATTAGTATTTAATTCCCCCCAGGTTTTAACACCACACACAGCTCACAGTTTTACTGATATGATTTCTTCTCGGCGCGTGTATCCACTCAAACAGCCTTGCTAATTTAGCTAACACAGCTAACGTGAGGTACTGACACAACAACTGAAGCTAACAGATGCTAGCTGTTAGCTACGACCACTTTTTCTTACCGTCACTGCCTCGTCTGTATCAATGTCACTTCCGGGTTGATGTGTGATAAAATCCAGCCTGTCTGCCTTCTGGAGAATTAATGTACCTTTAATTTAAGACACAACGTTTGGCTGTCTGAGCCTTTAAACCTGCAGCGCAGTTAGCATCGTGACATGTATACAATCCATTGCACATTGAGAGTGTCGCCTGTGGATTGCGTCACTCTTGCGCCGACCAATGAGATTCATATATTTCACATTAACGCGATTTCTATGTAGGGTGAAGTGAGGTCAGGTGGGACATCAGGTAAAATGGGAGAAATAAGGTTTAACAAAAAAGAACTAGCTCCAGAACTTGCAAGAAAAGCCATGCGGCATGTTGATTTTGTGATGAAAAAAATAATAATAATTATAATCTACATGTATAAAGCGCTTTACAAGGTGCCTTACATGTCAAAAATTAAAACAGACAAAAGATGAAAACAACTTTTAAAAGAACTGATATGAACACTTAAGTATACTTAAGTATACTATAGCACCTATGGAACCCTTCAGACATGGTACCTAGACCCACTGCAAACAGTACTCTTAAATATGGGCGGGGTTGTTGTCACTCACTGCTCCGTCCATCACTCACTGTATTTCCTCATCACCGGTGAGACAGAGGGAAGTCTGCACGTTGTTTATCATCCACAGAACGAGGCTGCGCGCTGACATTTTCAGAACAAAATAAAACAGGCTGCAGTGAGAGTCTCTCTCCATGGGTTACTTAAAAAGAGTGGGTTTGTGCATTTAGTCCTTCTAAGGCAAGCTCAGGGGTTTAGTGTTGTCCAACACTAAACACTCCACAATGCTTTTTTTCCCTCCGAGTGAGGGTTAGAATATATGCCGTTCACGTAACCCATCTGAAATTAATATATGAATGCTTGAAGATCCACTCATTACTAAAAGTGTATGTCATATAAAAACTAAAGTAATGGTCAAAGTTGTCACAGTGAAATTTAAGGTGTGTTGATGGATTCATGTCATCACCTCATGCATTGCTTAACATTACAAGTTAACGTTCCACCTTAAAAGTCGTCGGCAGTCGGTAGATATGCCCATTCAAAGTTTGCAATTTCAATCAGTTGCGATAGCACCCCCCTTTGGCCAACTGATGTAATAGTGCTTCATTCGCATCCTCCCATGACCTTCTACCACTGTGCCAAATTTCACATGGATTGACCAAATTAGTGAGGAGAAAAAAAGTGGAACAGACACACACACAGACAGAGTTTTCGTCATTATATAGTAAGATAAGATATGGCACCATGGGAACAGTCAGCTAAAGAACAGGTAAAGCATGGCAGAAAATTTGGTAAATATACTTTAAGAAATAGCCACAGGTTACATGAATGATTGAATGAGTTAATGACTGAACTGATAAATAGATTTGAATGAATGTCCCATTTTACCTAAACACGTCATCGGAGTGACGTAGGGTTTCTCAATGTGTTTGAAGGTCCAAACAAAGTTTCTAAATTATTTTACTTGGCAACAGTTTTGTTTAGAGAAGTATAGCACCGAATAATAACAAGTCAATAAGATCAGGTGCACTAACAAAGAACAGAAAAAAAGACCACTACCAGGGGCTATTAGCCCAGGACAACACATCTCCCAGGATCACAGGGGCACGCAAACCCCTCCACCGCGTTAAGGTGGCAATTCTCAGAGGAGAATCCTCCCGTTGGAGGTGTTTCGTGCACGTCCCACTGGTAGGAGGCCCCGGGGCAGACCCAGAACATGCTGGAGGGATTATATATCTCATCTGGCCTGGGAACGCCTCGGGTCCCGCAGGAGGAGCTGGAAAGTGTTGCTGGGCAGAGGGACGTCTGGGGCGCTTCACTCGGATGAATAGATGGATGTTATATTTTTGAGGTTTGATTTTGAAGCAATCCAAAATTATTTAGGTAAGATGAAATTTTCTGTGATCCAGTGTATTAGATTGCCATTTACAAAGCTGCCACCTATTTTGTATTCAGTAACAGACTACATTACAAGTGTCTGCTAAACCTCACAGCACTAAGAATACGCGGGGACACCGGACATTGAAATCGATGTTAAAGGTGCACTTCAGGTGTCTGAATACCTCGCCCTTTTGCGGCAGGATGAAACTTGGTATATTCCTGTAAAAGTCGTGAAAGAATTCTGGAGAGACTGGAAACATTTTTATCTAAAAAATAGAAAAGTAAAACAAAACAATAAAGACAAAAATATTCAAACTGTCTTTTTACAAGTAATTCTTTCATCAGTGTGTTTGCAGTCTCGTCCTGACCTGGAATGACAGTAGCGTATTGTGCAAACGGTTCCGAGCAAATATGTGGGCAGCGGCTTCGAGTGTCCCCAAACTATGCCCTTCCTGTTGGCAAATATCCTCTTTGGTAAAGTGTCACTGAGCAAGTCACTGAGTCCATGCTGACAGCAGGTTGCACAATAGCCCTGTGGGTGTTTGAACGTGAAGCTCTTCACATGTTTTGTATGATATTTAATTCAGGAAACATTGGTGTCAGATGTGGGCACGGCTGTAAACTGGAAATCACAGGTAGTGTCAGATGTTTTTAGATATCTCGCCAAAAAAACACATAGAACCAGCACTGATTTAAACTCAGACTGCTCATCCCCCACTAGACTTTGTCAGCTTCCATTTGTTTTGGCAGCAATCCTAAAACAGAGTATGACCCACGTGTGACGCAGGAGACAGGAGGGATGATCGTGGTGTTTAACTTGGCTCTGTTTTCCTGTTTAAAGTACAGGATATAAACACCTGCAGGCTGCACCAGCTCTACCTCACCGTTCCTGATACGTCCTGATCGCCTGTGCATCTCTCGCAGAAATGAAGCTCCTCGGCATGTCGTTGGTTCTGGGACTACTGGCGGGGGTATGGGCTCAGCTCAGTGTGGTGCGACCTCTCTGCGACTCCCCTGAGGCAGAGGAGGCAGCTCTGGTGGCTCAGGATTACCTCAACAGCCAGCACGCTCACGGCTACAAGTATGTACTGAACAGGATCGAGGATATCAAGGTCTATACACAGGTAAGTCAGCAGGTGTAGAGTTTGTGTTGTTACAGGCAGAAAGATTTGTACAGATTTCTACTTCTCTTCTCCTGTTTTTAAACTTTGAAGGAACATGAGATAACAAAACAGTCACATTTATTTCCTCATGGCTACTGGATAGCAGGTTCACATAATCTGAAAAATTAAACTGTGAATTGTGATGTGTGTGACTTTGAATAGGTAAAACACATCCTGTAAAACCTGCCGAGCTTAAAGATGAGGTAAAATGTGAGCATTATTTCAGATAAGGTAGCACATTATACACAAATTAGTACATTTAGGTGAAGGTGCCTCTTTACTTTCCTTAAACTTTGCACATATTTTCTTACATTGTGTGTGTGGTTATTTTTAGCACCCTAATTAAGACACAATCCAACTAAGCATGGTTGGATTACTAATGGAGCCTACTTCACCTGCAAAATGTCACTCAAATTAACATGTACTGGCCAATGTGAGAGTCAAAATTACTACAGAAGAAAATAAAACAACTACAAACACATGCAAGGGAACTGCCAAAAGACACAAATGTACTGCAAAAAGAGATGCAAAACAACCAAAAAAGACACCAGATGACTAAAAATAGACAGAAAACAACCAAAGAGGACACATAATGACTTCACAGAGACACAAAACAACCACAAAAAGTGGACACAAAATGAGAGACACAACAAAATGACACAAATGTACTGCAAAAAGAGACAAATAAACAACAACCAAAAAAGAGACAAAATGACTTCAGAGAGGCAAGAAAGAACCACAAGAAGAAACAAGATGACTTCAGGGACACAAAAAGACCCCAAAAATACACAAAAAGACTTCAGAGAGACACAAAACAACCAAAAACGACACCAGATGACTTAAAATACATAGAAAAAGAAGCCAAAGAAGACACAAAATTACTATAAAGAGACAAAAATCGACCAAAAAAAGAGACAGAATGACTTCAGAGACAATAAATAACCACAAAAACACACAAAATGACCAAAAGAGACACTAAATGACTTCAGAGAGACACTAAACAACCAAAAAAGGCACAAAATTACCACAGAGAAACAAAACAGTAAAAAAAATAAAAGAGAGAGATAAAACCACCCCAAAGTCTGTGTGTCTTGTTCCTATGTAGGTGAGGTGGCGAGATCTTTTGCCTATCTGCGCCCAGGGGCCCATTCTAAGTAAATTCCACACCAGCTGCTGTGTGTTGCCTCTGCAGGCAAACATTTGCATAAGAAAAGATTTAAAAATCCACTTTTCAACTGTGCTCTATTTCTTTTTGTCTTCGTTTTGTAATTTGAAACAAAATGCAAATATGACACCAGAACATTTCACTTCAGGGTTTTTTGTCTATGTGGCGATCAGACAACACACAGCTGAATTCTGCCAAATAACTGTCTGACGCAGTAGATTCAGATCATAATAATAATAAAAGTATTTTATTTTATCCCTCCTCAGCCTGATGGAGACAACACATATCTGCTGGAACTTGACCTGCTGGAGACAGACTGTCATGTGTTGGATCCCACACCTCTTGCCAATTGCACAGTCAGGCCAAAAATATTGACGGTGAGACTCCGTACCATCAGTACCCTGAATTTCACATACTTGAGATACGCGAATTCAACCAAATGTCAACATACTTATAATTTCAGAACGTGAAATGAAAATATAAAATGTCCTTCTTCGTCTCCAATCAGGCAGTAGAAGGAGACTGTGACGTGGTGCTGAAGAAGGTCGGCGGAGCTCTGACTGTTACAGCATTCAAGTGTAAAACAGAAGGTAAAACTTCCTGATTGCACACTGACTCACACGCATGTTCAAAAGATGCCACACAACTGTCATCCTACACACAAAACCTGCACGTGTCTTTGTCTGATAACATAGAATCAACAGAGGACTTCTGCGCGGGCTGTCCTATCCTCCTTCCCCTGAATGACACCATGGCGCTGGACTTTGTCCAAACCTCTCTTGTAACCCTCAACAACATGACTGAGAACATAACATACACTCTTGCAGAGGTTGGACGGGTGACATCACAGGTGGGCCCAAACATGATCTATACAGTTCTGATTTTTTTCCTACAAGATTGAATGCACGTGCGTGTTTTAATTAGTGTAAATCCTTGTCGATACCTTGTTTCAGGTTGTGTCTGGTGGGCCGATCTATAGTGCAGAATATGTTGTAGTTGAGGCTATATGCTTGGATGATGTCTGCGAGCCCCTGCAGGACCCCATGGCTGTAAGTATACAAAGTATCAGTATAGTTTCCCAGGAGAAAAACTTTTTAGAAGTGAGATAATTTAATATATGCACTTTTTTTTAGCCCTGAGTTGTTTTTCTTCTCTCCACCAGTCACGTGGTCTTTGTACTGCCAAAGGTTTGAGCAATGATCACACAGTGAGCTGCAAGATGTTTGTAAATCTGGTAAAATACTTCATTTAACTTCTCTGAATAGTTTTTGATCGACAAAAATACATTACAAACTTTACATTTATATAGATGTTTTCTCCTAAGCCTCTGTTGATGCATACACTTTTTCAGATGCCTGCTGTAGATGCCAATGGCACTGCACCAGTGGTCCAAGTCCACAAAGACAGCCTGTCTCCCAAGCACGGTCTGAGGCACCACAAACTGACCGCTCTCCACAACCCACATCTGAGCAGCCTTCTGTCTGCAGAATCTTTAGAGTCTGCTGAAACTGTGCCTGTAGTCCCTGCAGTGGTTGATGCCGGTGCAGCTGCTGCACCTGCTGCCGATCCAGCTGCACCTGCTGCAGATCCTGCCGCACCAGCTGCCGATCCAACTGCTGCAGATCCTGCTCCACCTGTAGACTTGGGATCTTCCTCAGATTCAGTCAGTGCTGAGATTCCTCATGTTGTGATGAAGAGAGATGTACCTGTCACACCTGCTGACAACCCTGCAGCTCAAGTAGACCCCATTAATCTTGTGCCAGTGTGTCCGGGAAGGATCAGGTTTTTCTAAATATTTGGTTCCCATAGACTCTCTATTCATGCTGCCTTCAGCTACACTGGCACTAGAGTAATTTATGACTATAGTAGATAAATGAACTTGTCTAACGCCGATACACTAAGCTATATCCATTATTTGTAATTGTTAAATCACGCACAGGCATTAAGCACTGCAAAACAACTGTTGAAATATATGTAAAAATGGATGATAAAAATTGTATTCAATGCTGCTGAATAAATTTCTCAAGTCAAAGCTTTTTGTGTTCTTACTTTTTGGTCATCATGCACCCTTTAAAACTGTGGTTCCCAACTGGTGGGTCACAGGTCCATTCTGTATTCCATAGGTGACTCGTCATGTTTGTAAAAAACACTTTATTTTTAAGTACAGTGAATTTCCACCACAGAGCTTTTATTTTGAAGTGCCATTTTCTGCTGTCAAGGGAGTGACTAATCGACAGCTACTTGACAGAGGCAGCCAGCTAGCTTGATGACAAGGCCAAACACAAGTATGATGCCGAATGTATTAAACAGTTTGGACCTTATGACGAAGGAGAAATCTGGACCCTGTGGCTGGACCAGATGGAAACCACTGCTTTAAAATATGTTGAAACAGTTCTGCTTGAGCACATCACCCTTTTTCAAATTCATACGTTATTCCTATGGCCTAAGAAAGTCCAATAAAATTGTTCAGCATAACCAGCACTCAAATACGAAAACTAGAGTGCTAAAACTCAAATTTGTAATGTCAAGTTTTTGTCAACAGGCAATGAATATGGAAAGATGTTCCTGACACTGAGAGCACCCAGGGGAATGTTCTGAGAATACGGGCACATAATTTAAACATGTTTAAAGAGTTTATTTGGGTATAAAAAAAGATCAACATTCTGTGGGTTTACAAAATCAGGCTCCCATTCATTGTCTCTGGAGTAGCTCCAGCCTTTTTATTTGTTGACATCACAAGTTTGAGACATTCTCCTGTAGTTTCTGGCTCTGAGAGAGTAGCTCATGTTCAGATACATTTTCCTAGGCCAATGAAATAACATTGGATTTCCCCTTTAATAGCAGCAGTCAATGAAAGATAGTTACCCATGGCCTTTTGCAGGTTCAACGAGGACACACCGATACTCTCCACAACAGATTTTGAATGAATGTACTGCTACCCAAATTCACTTAATCATTCATGCCACATCTTTAAGGGCAATTGCGAAACAAAGCACTGTTTGCCAGTTGGGTTGACACGCATCCATGACATTTGTGTGAACCCGCTGACATTTCTACGAATACAAAAAAGTGGCAAAAAAAGTATTCCTCTAATTTGTCCCATCAATATTTTAAACGTGTTTACAGATTCTTTTGACATCCAAAGTCTGGCAGTTTGTAGGGACAACAGGTTGTTAAATGTTTCACATCAGAGTCATTAACCTTAAACTGCAGATACATTTGGTAAAGGCTTTTCTTTTGAACTATGAATGTAAGTAGTATCAGTACAAACTGAACTTGGAAATTAGCTTTTCAGAGACGAGTGCAAAGATTTTAGGATTGTACTTAAACCATGGAAATTCTAGTAAGTGTATTTACATGGATGGGTCAATGTTCAGGAAGGACCAGTTCATGGCAAGGCAAAATAAGCAAGATAAATAAGTTCAACAAGGGCAATGCACCTTTTGATCCTAAAAAAGCAGATATAATGCCAACAAGGACTGAAAGTAAACTTTCAGCTTTAAACAAGCCAGAAAAAGTTCTTTGACTGCTCACCAGCTTTAGATTTTG